CTGACACAGAATGAATGTGGTCTAAGAACTTAAAAATTTTAAATTGGACATTCACCTATTATGGTCCAATATCCAAAATCTAAATACATGGTTAGATTCAGCATATCAAAGAACCCCAAGAATTCAATTTTTGATGAAATCAAACAAAGTTTAATTTTGGACCCTTTTGACCTCAATGTGGACAAAGTTGATAACGGGGCCCAAAAATCAAAAATCTAAATACATGGTTAGATTCAGCATATCAAAGAACCCCATATATTCAATTTTTGTTGAAATCAAACAAAGTTTAATTTTGGACCCCGATTTGGACCAACTTGAAAACTGGGCCCATAATCACAAATCTAAATACATGTTTAGATTCAGCATATCAAAGAACCCTAAAAATTCAATTTTTGTTAAAATCAAACCAAGTTTAATTTTGGACCCTTTGGACCTTAATGTAGACCAATTTGAAAACGGAACCAAAATTTAAGAATCTAAATACACGGTTAGATTCGGCATATCAAAGAACCCCAATAATTCAATTTTTGATGAAATCAAACAAAGTTAAATTTTGGACCCTTTGGACCTCAATGTGGACCAATTTAAAAACGGGGCCCAAAATCCAAAAACTTAATACACGGTTAGATTCAGCATATTAAAGAACCCCAAGAATTCAAGAATAAAACCCCATTGAAATTGATCAAGAAATAAGCAATTTATACGAAGTATCTTCTTTTGCACAATACTGTGCAATTGAATATTTCTTGCTATTGTGCAATACTGTACAATTGACAATTTCTTGCTATTGCACAATATTGTGCTATTGGATATTTCTTGCTATTGCGCAATACTGTGCAATTGAAGATTTCTTGCTATTGCGCAATACTGTGCAATTGAAGATTTCTTGCTATTGTGCAATACTGTGCAATTGAAAATACTTATTATATAATAATTTACACATCCTGTTTGGTGTGTATCTCCTACCACATAATTATGCTTTTAAATATTAATCAGAAATAACCAACTTAAAATGGAAAATTTTAAAAGAAAAAAAAAAGGAAAAAAAGAAAAAAAAAAAGAAAAAAAAAATCCTCCCCCCAAATTTTTTGAACCCCCTTATGATTCATCACCCCCAAACTCAATCCCAGCCTTCCCTTTGTGGTATGGTACCTTGCAGTACAATTTCAGAGAGATCCATACACTTGAACACAAGTTATTGTCTGGAAGCTAGAAAAATGCTTATTTTTGGCCCCTTTTTGGCCCCCAATTCCTAAACGTTTCGGGCAATTACCCCCAAACTCAATTCCAGCTTTCCCTTTGTGATATGGAACCTTGTAGTACTATTTCAGAAATATCCAAACACTTACACACAAGTTATTGTCATGAAACTAGAAAAATGCTTGTTTTTTGCCCCTTTTTTGACCCCTAATTCCTAAAATTTTGAGGCAATTACCCCCAAAATCAATTACAGTCTTCCCTTTGTGATATGGAACCTTGTGGTACAATGTCAGAGAGATCCATACACTTACACACAAGTTATTGTCTGGAAGTTACAAAAATGCTTATTTTTGGCCCCTTTTTGGCCCCTAATTCCTTAACTGTTGGTACCATAACCCCCAAAATCAATCCCAACCTTCCTTTCATGGTATTGAACCTTATGGTAAAATTTCATGGAGATCCATTCACTTAAACTAAAGTTAGAGTGCGAAAACCAATGTGTCTTTGGACGACGCCGGACGACGCCAGACGACGACGACGACGACGACGACGACGACAACGCCAACGTCATACCAATATACGACCAAAAAATTTTTAATTTTTGCGGTCGTATATATATGACTTGATATTTAGAAAAAAAAAACAAACAAAAAATTCAGCAATTTTTCTTTTTGTAAACACGCATAACTCTAGAACAGTTGTGTATAAGTTTTATAACATTTGGTTGAGACAAACTAAAGTTAGAGAACGGAAACGAAAAATTCAGCAATTTTTATGTTTATAAAGGGACATAACTCAAGAATGGTAAAAGTGTCGCCACCAAATTTCGTACTTAAACTGTATTATTTAGTAATAAGCATTGTGTATAAGTTTCATAACATTTGGTTGAGGCAAACTTAAATTAGAAAACGTAAACAAAAAATTTGTACTTGATCTTAGTTTTGTGGTAATGAATATTGTGTATAGGTTTCATAATGTTTGGTTGGGGCAAACTTGAGTTACAGAATGGAAACTAAAAATTTTGCAATCTTTCGATTTATAAAGGGGCATAACTCAATAATGGATAAAGTGACACTACCCAAATTCAACTTAATCTGTGTTTTATCAGTGGAAGTCAAAATTAAACATTGCATTGTATAAATCATGGACAAAGAAAGATAACTCCAATTTTAAAAATGACTTGATATTTAGTGGAAAATAAAAATTTTGCAATTTTTCCATTTATAAAGGGGCATAACTCTAGAACGGTTAAAGTGAGATCACCAAAATTCAAACTTGATCTGTGTTTTGTGGTAATAAGTATTGTGTATAAGTTTCATAACATTTGGTTGAGGCAAACTTAAGTTAGAGAACAAAACTACAAATTTTGAAATTTTTCCATTTATAAAGGGGCATAACTCTAGAACAGTTAAAGTGACGCCACCAAAATTCAAACTTGATCCGTGTTTTGTGGTAATAAGCATTGCGTATAAGTTTCATAACATTTGGTTGAGGCAAACTCAAATTAGAGAACAGAAACCAATTTTGGGATGTACAGACGGACGTACGTACGTACGTGCGTACAGACGGAAAAGGGTAAAACTTAATGCCCCCACCGCTACGGCGGGGGCATAAAAAATTTCAGTAACAGTGACTTTGACCATTGTACTCAAAATCAACAGGCTTATCCTCTTCCCTTAATCTTTCATCTGTATAAGTTTCATTCCAATCAAATGAGGGAAACTAAAGCCACTATCTATAAACTATTTTTAATACAAACTTTAAATCTATTTTTAGTAACAGTGACCTTGGCCTTTGACCCAAAATACAATATGCTTCTTTCTTTTCCTTTTATTTTTCATCTGTATAAGTTTCATTTCAATCAAGCATGGAAAACTAAGTAACCATTCGAAAACTATGTTCTCAATTTTGTTTTAGAAAAAAATCAATAGGCTCCTTCCCCTTTCCTATATCTTCAAGCTGTATAAGTTTTATTCCAATAAAGCAAGGAAAACTATAGTTACCATCAAGAAAAACTCTTTTCATACTTTTCTAATTTTATTTAGTGGCCTTGACCCAAATCAATAGGAATCTTTCCATTCCCTATATCTTCAATCTGTATATGATTAATTCCAACCAAGCAAGGGATACTCAAGTAATTATCTTGAAACCATCCGTCTTATACACAAACCACACAGAGAGATGAAGCTATTACTTAATGCTCTCTAACTTTTTACTGGGAGCATAATATATAAGAAAGTACGATTGCCAATTTGACAACTACCGGGTATTCACAAATTACCAAAGGAACTACAGCTTTCAACAATGAGCAAATCCAATACCATAATGTAAGCTGCAAAATAATAAAAATTTGTAAGGGTTCCGTGGAACCCAGTGTCTCGCCTAGTTTTGCTGTTGTCTTTGTTTTCAGTGTGATAATGTTTGGTTGATCGTCGATGACGGAATGTAGGATCGCTATGTCTCACTTTTGCAACAAAAGTTGCACGCGCAACAAAAATGGGGAAAAAATTATTAAAAATTTTCCTCTAGATACTATCTTTTGATTGTAAGAAGCTTCTGTCCAAGTTTGGTAAAAATCCAGGATGGTTTATGAATCTAATAATAAATGTTTTAAAAACTTTAACTGCAGACTGTATGTAATGTTAACTGGAAGAAAAACTAAGTCCATCTAGAAGTAATATACGGAAAAACAGGAAATAAATTTTTACAAAATTTCCTTCTGGATACTAGCTTTTGATCATAAACAAGCTTCTGTCCAAGTTTGGTAAAAATCCAGGATGTTTTATGAATCTAATAATAAATGTTTTCAAAACTTTAACCACAGAGTGAATGTAATGTTAACTGGCAGAAAAACTAATAGTTATAAGAAGATGTGGTATGAGTGCCAATGAGATAACTCTCCATCTAAGTCAAAATTTATAAAAGTAAACCAATATAGGTCAAAGTACGGTCTTCAACACGGAGCCTTGGCTCACACCGAACAGCAAGCTATAAAGGGCCCCAAAAATTACTAGTGTAAAACCATTCAAACGGGAAAACCAACGGTCTAATGGTCTAATCTATATAAAAAACGAGAAACGAGAAACACTTATGAACCACATCAACAAACGACAACTACTAAACATCAGTCCATTTAAAAGTAAAATACGGATAAACAGGATTTTTTTTTTTTTTTAAATTTACTTCTGGATACTATCTTTTCAATTTCAATCAGCAATTCAGGGCCAAACACCTAAAAATCAGATACCCTATTTGACTGATAATTTCAGGGCAGGTAGAACTAGACCTAATGAATACTTTAACTTCTTGTCTGATTTGCTCTAAATGCTTTAGTTTTTGAGATATAAATCAAAAACTGCATTTTACCCTATGTTCTATTTTTAGCCATGGCGGCCATGTTTTCTGAGGAAACAGAAAATAAAACACAAATTTATTCTAAATACCCTAAGGATCATTCATTCAGCTTAAGTTTGGTTGGAATTGGTTCAGTAGTTTCAGAGGAGATGATCTTTGAAATAGTTTACACCGGACGGACGACGGATGACAGACGACGGAAGATGCCAAGTGATGGCAACAGCTCACATTTCCTTTGGAAAGGTGAGCTAAAACTAAATTTCTCAACTCAGCAGATGTAATATCAAATCTACTTCATGTCTAACTGCTTTAAACTGAAGAGGGACAAACAAATTAATAGACCAATTAATACATTAGTCAATAGTTTGACCGACAGGACATAAAAAATTAACCAATCTTACTCACCATAAACTTAGAGATGTTAATCAACATAAAAAAACAAAAGATTAGCTTGAAAATAATGTAATAATCACATTCAAATAACAAACACAAGAAATAAATAATTAAGATCTTCTAATAAATAATATTTTGCTTATTTTTTCAAATCCATTCATTCATTAACAATATATTTGATACATTACTTGGCATTTTTCAAGAATTATCTTCACAATAACTATTGAATATTTTGTAAAAAAAATCATTTTTAATAACTGTATATAATGAACTAGATTTATTTTTCTATTATGCACGGAATTGAAAGTACAGATGATTTTATAGATTTCTCCTATTATTTTCCTATTATTTTTTTTTATAACTGTATATGCCTGTGCTATATCAGACCTTTTTTTTTTTTAAAGTTTTGATACAGTAATTAAGTTGAGTCAGAAATTCACCATGACACTATTTCATTTTGTATTGGACATGGCCAGCCATGAAAATCTATAATGTTATTCCCTTAACTGATAGGCTTATGATTTATATTTTTCAGATTTCAGTCAGGCCATACAAATTAAAATATTACCTTTCTGAGGCCAATGTCAAAGTACAAGATGAGACAAGAATTCAGTACCATTTATCCCAAAAAACTACATCAGTACAACTGATATTGATAAAAGACCAATACTTAACTAATCAAAATAAAAATGGTCCATGAATTCTGAAAAATTAAGTATATTTTTTGCCTTTTAATCCCCTACTATACACATATATATCACATTGGTTTGCTGTATTCATCTTTATAAGTCAAGGAATTAAACAGAATAACTAGAAATCATTGTCACTATCTTCTAGTTGTGGTGGTTGTCGTTTACGGGGATTTGGAGGCGCTACAACATCATCTCCGCTATCCTCCTGATCATCACCATCTAAGTCTATTTCTGAATCATCTTCATCATCATCATCATCATCATCAGAATCACTATCCTGCAAAATGAGAAAAAAATACCACATTTAATATGTTTAAAAGGAGATGTGAGGTATATGTCAATGAGACAAATTACAACTTCACATTTTTTTTCACTTAGTTCATGTTTCCTCCTAAAACTGAAAATTTCCATGCAAAAATTAAATATTACTTAAAGCAACGATGAAAGAAAACCTGCAATATAATTTTTATAAACAACTGTCCTGTGTTTTCAAAATGTGTCTAGTAGGACAATAACTTATAAATTTACCATAAGATGTAAACAGAAGAAACTAAAAGTAAACTTTCACTCTTAACAATTCTGGCTAACAAATTTTAAAATAAATGGGGAATGTGTCCATGGGACACAGATGATGCCCCCACTTGCATATCATATACAGTTATAAAGGGACATAACTAAATAACTGTACAAATGACACTACCCAAATTGTACTTGATCTGTATTTTGTGGTAATAAGCATTGTGTATGAGTTTCATAGCATTTGGTTGAGGCTAATTTCAGTTATAGAACGGAAACAAAAAATTCAGCTTTGGGACGTAGGGACGGACGTACGTACAGACGGACAAGGGTAAAACTTAATGCCCCCTCCGCTACGGCTGGGGCATAAAAAAATAGTAAGATCAATTCAATATTTTCATACATTATAAAAGGACAGAGTTGGGTATGAAATGATTGATCATAATACTGACATCTTCATTAATATTCCCAATCATATTACCCATAACTCTCTGTTTTATCATAATACTGACCTCTTCACTACTATTTCCCATCATATTACCCCTAACTCTCTGTTTTATCATAATACTGACCTCTTCACTAATATTTCCCATCATATTACCCCTAACTCTCTGTTTTATCATAATACTGATATCTTCACTAATATTTCCCCATCATATTACCCATAACTCTCTGTTTTATCATAATACTGATATCTTCACTAATATTCCCCATCATATTACCCCTAACTCTCTGTTTTATCATAATACTGACCTCTTCACTAATATTTCCCATCATATTACCCATAACTCTCTGTTTTATCATAATACTGACCTCTTCACTAATATTTCCCATCATATTACCCCTAACTCTCTGTTTTATCATAATACTGACCTCTTCACTAATATTTCCCATCATATTACCCCTAACTCTCTGTTTTATCATAATACTGATATCTTCACTAATAATCCCCATCATATTACCCCTAACTCTCTGTTTTATCATAATACTGACCTCTTCACTAATATTTCCCATCAAATTCCCATTACTCTCTGTTTTATCATAATACTGACCTCTTCACTAATATTTCCCATCATATTACCCCTAACTCTCTGTTTTATCATAATACTGATATCTTCACTAATATTCCCCATCATATTACCCCTAACTCTCTGTTTTATCATAATACTGATATCTTCACTAATATTTCCCATCATATTACCCCTAACTCTCTGTTTTATCATAATACTGATATCTTCACTAATATTCCCCATCATATTACCCATAACTCTCTGTTTTATCATAATACTGATATCTTCACTAATATTTCCCATTATATTACCCATAACTCTCTGTTTTATCATAATACTGATATCTTCACTAATATTTCCCATCATATTACCCATAACTCTCTGTTTTATCATAATACTGATATCTTCACTAATATTCCCCATCATATTACCCATAACTCTCTGTTTTATCATAATACTGATATCTTCACTAATATTTCCCATTATATTACCCATAACTCTCTGTTTTATCATAATACTGACCTCTTCACTAATATTTCCCATCATATTACCCATAACTCTCTGTTTTATCATAATACTGACCTCTTCACTAATATTCCCCATCATATTACCCATAACTCTCTGTTTTCTTTCCCCTGCTGCAGCTGCAAAAGGAGATAACATCATTTTAATAAAATAGACCAAAAAGAAACACAGAAGGTTTACTTTGAACAAATGTAGGAAGATAATCTATCAGTCAAGAACAACACTTAAACTTATGATATCTGTATCACAGGTGAAAATGAGCTAGTAAAACAATACAACTTTTGTAGACTCCAAGTGCTTTAGAGCTAGATGTATTGAATAGATACTATTTTTGAAGACGGCATGTTGACCAAAACAGATCTATTCAGATTCCTAATGTTAATACCATCAGTGGCGCTGGTTTTGTTTTAATAAGAACCTTTCAAAACTGTTAAATAGTATTTTATTCTATATCTAAGCAATGAGTTAGGGGCTGAAATTTCCTGAAATATGCCAGATATAATCTGAATATTTACAACTTATTTTGAAAGGACAAATGAATTTATCCTAGTACCAACTCTTGTGTTGCCTTCCCCAAAAATAACTAAATAGATATTTCAAATTGCTTGTTCTTAATCATTTGTGTGATATATAATCAGTTACAACATCTAGCACAAACATAGTGTTATATTAAAAAAATTCTGCTGATACACTGAATGTTGATACATGTAGCTACAAATTCTTTAACAAAAGTGCTCATGCTTACATGTCTCAGCTGGTTAACTAATCATGATTGAAAGTTAAGTTTGAAAGTCTTTAAGACCAAGGTCTTACTACAGGTATCACTAACAAGAGTGCACACGCTGAAATGTCGCCTTCTTTACTAATCATTGATATTATGTTGATAGTCCTAAATATAAAGCTTTATTACAACTGTCACATAAACTTAACATTAACCAAGTAAACTAAACATTGACCAATGAACCATGAAAATGAGGTCAAGGTCAGATGAACCATGCTAGGCAGGCATGTACAGCTAACAATTCTTCCATACAACAAATATAGTTGACCTATTGCTTATAGTTTAAGAAAAACAGACGAAAACACAAAAACTTAACACTGAGCAATGAACCTTGAAAATGAGGTCAAGGTCAAATAAAACCTGCGTGACTGACATATAGATCATAAAATATTTCCATACACCAAATATAGTTGAACTATTACATATAGTATTAGAAAAAAAGACCAAAACTCAAAAACTTAACTTTGACCACTGAACCATGAAAATGAGGTCAAGGTAAGATGACACCTGCCAGCTAGACATGTACACCTGACAATCATTCCATACACCAAATATAGCTGACCTATTGCATGCAGTATTAGAAAAAAAGACCAAAACTCAAAAACTTAACTTTGACCACTGAACCATGAAAATGAGGTCAAGGTCAGATGACACCTGCCAGCTAGACATGTACACCTTACAATCATTCCATACACCAAATATAGTACACCTATTGCATACAGAATAAGAAAAACAGACCAAAACACAAAAACTTAACTATAACCACTGAACCATGAAAATGAGGTCAAGGTCAGATGACACCTGCCAGCTAGACATGTACACCTTACAATCATTCCATACACCAAATATAGTAGACCTATTGCATACAGTACAAGAAAAACAGACCAAAACACAAAAACTTAACTATAACCACTGAACCATGAAAATGAGGTCAAGGTCAGATGACACCTGCCAGTTGGACATGTACACCTTACAGTCCTTCCATACACCGAATATACTTGACCTATTGCTTATAGTATCTGAGATATGGACTTGACCACGAAAACTTAACCTTGTTCACTGATCCATGAAATGAGGTCGAGGTCAAGTGAAAACTGTCTGACAGGCATGAGGACCTTGCAAGGTATGCACATACCAAATATAGTTATCCTATTACTTATAATAAGAGAGAATTTAACATTACAAAAAATCTGAACTTTTTTTTCAAGTAGTCACTGAACCATGAAAATGAGGTCAAGGATATTAGACATGTGACTGACGGAAACTTCATAACATGAGGCATCCATATACAAAGTATGAAGCATCCAGGTCTCCCATCTTCTAAAATATAAAGCTTTTAAGAAGTTAGCTAACGCCGCCGGATCATTATCCCTATGTCTAGCTTTTTGCGACAAAAGTTGCAGGCTCGACAAAAACTAAACATTATCAATGAACCATAAAAATAAGGTCAAGGTCAGGTGAACCCTGCTATCAAGGTACACTTTATAATTATTCTTAACACCAAATACAACTACTTAATGTTGACCAATGACCATGAAAATAAGATGAAGATCAGATGAAGATCAGATGAACCCTGCCAGACAGACATGTACACCTTTCAATCATTCTATACTCCAATATAGTTGAACTATTACTTAAAGTATCCGAGAAAGGGAAATTTATATCAAGAATACTTAAAACTGAAAATTGAACCATGAAAATGAGGTCAAGGTCAGATGAACCATTATAGACAGAAAAGTGCACCATACAATCATTCTATGCTCTAATTTGGTTTAGCTCATAGTATCTGAGAAACTGACCAATCATGAAAATTAACATTGATCACTGAGCCATGAAGTCAAGCTGAGGTCAGATGAATCACGTCTGACTGCCATGTTTACCTTGCAATATTTCTAAATACCAAATATAGCTATCTTTTACTCATAATAACTGAAAACTAGAGGCTCTCAAGAGCCTGTGTCGCTCACCTGTATTTACTGATGCTTTGGAAATCATGTAAAATAAGGTTATAATCATAATTAATAGTATTAGATATTAGATATTATAATGATATCTAAGATAATAACAAAAAAACTGCAAAATTTTTGTAAAATTACTAACTCAGGGGCAGCAACCCAACAACGGGTTGTCGGATTCGTCTGAAAATTTCAGGGCAGATAAATCTAAATCTGATGAACATTTTTGCCACCTGTCAGATTTGCTCTAAATGCTTTAGTTTCAGAGATATAAACCAAAAACTGCATTTTACCCCTATGTTCAATTTTTAACCAAGTCGGCCATGATGGTTGGAAGGCAGGGTCATCAGACAAAATTTTTAAACTAGATACCCTAATAATGATTATGGCCAAGTATGGTTAAATTTGTCTCAGTAGTTTCAGAGAAGAAGATTTTTGTAAAAGATTACAAAAAGTTACAAAAAATTGTTAAAAATTGACTATTAAGGGCAATAACTCCTAAAGGAGTCGACTGACAATTTTGGTCATGACAACTTATTTGTGGATCTTACTTTGCTGAACATTATTGCTGTTTACAGTTTATCTCTATCTATAATAATATTCAAGATAATAACCAAAAACTGCAAAATTTCCTTAAAATTACCAAGTCAGGGGCAGCAACCCAACAACGGGTTGCCAGATTTGTCTGAAAATTTCAGGGCAAATAGATCTTGACCTGATAATCAGTTTAACCCATGTCAGATTTACTCTAAATGCTTTGGTTTCAGAGATATAAGCCAAAATCTACATTTTACACCTATGTTCTATTTTTAGCCATGGCGGCCATCTTGGTTGGTTGGCGGGGTCATCGGACACATTTTTTAAACTAGATACCCTAATGATGATTGTGGCCAAGTTTGGTTAAATTTGGCCCAAGGGTTTCAGAGGAGAAGATTTTTGTAAAAAGCTAACGACGACAAACGCCAAGTGATGAGAAAAGCTCACTTGGCCCTTCGGGCCCGGTGAGCTAAAAACACAGATAAAAAAAACAGTTTTTACAAGCAACTGCAAAAACATAAAAATGAGGTAACGAAAAATTGACATATGCCAGACAGAAACTTCAAACCATATGGCATCAGTATACCAGTTATAATGTTTTTCGGACTTCTATCTTCTGAAATATAAAGCTTTATACAAACAGCAGAATTAGCATCTCTGTGTCTCATATTCTGGATGCAGGTGAGACAATAATAATGGACCTGTTAGTCCAGGGAACAAATTATTTTAAGCTGAGATCAATCAATTCTGCAGAAATTTAAGCACATAATTTTTAAGTTGAAAAATTGAAGGTATTCAGGTCAAACATGATTATATATTATGCTGGGCCTACTCTCTATAGAAAACTTTGATATTTTAAACATTTCTGTCTTTCAAAATCTGTTAACATTTCATTGCAGGTAATAGATAAAAGGTCAATGTTCAGAAAGCTCCCCAGTAATCTGGTTACAAGTGTGGATGGATCATCAGTTCAATCTCCTGCCAAGTCAGGAGAAAAACTTTAAAATTGGTATTAGGACCTTTTCTCAAAATTCAGGTTGGGAAGCTAGTAGTCAGAATAAGGAGCCTTGGAAGGTGGCATGGTAGAATGTTACCTTGTGTGCTTACAAGTTTAATATATGGCTCAGCATATCTATCTAGTACTAACAATTTCCTCATCTATATACCACATGTCCTCATTCTAAATATTGTTGTAAGATCACCTCATACATATTTAAAAGTTAAACATTTTCATGCAACAATAATAAAATATATAAAAAGCACAGTAAAATCAGAAGTTAAAAAACTTCTGACTAAATCTAGACTCCTTTTTAGTAAAAAGCTTTTGTTCTTTTCTGTACTGTAGTTAGATAGAACTTATCATTAGTGATATTGTGTTGTTCTGTATCAGCCATTTATAATAAAAAAAGCAAAATAAATGTGTTGTATAAATATATATATATATACTGAAGATCATACCAAGTAATATTATGTGTGTATTTCCTGATACAATGTAGTAGAATGTGTATTAAAATACACATAAATTGTTGGGAAATATAAAATGTATTTGTACGTTTATTAAAATACACATAAATTGTTGGGAAATATAAAATGTATTTGTACATAATAGGCATCAGGAAAAGGAAGAAATGTGAGACTCAGCAAGTGTTTTCCCATGATTCATATTTGAGTACAAATAAATTTCACATTTTCCAATGATGTTATAAGGGCATACGACACAGTTTTGATCCAACAGTGATTTTTGACGAAAATTTGCATACAAGCTATTTTTCATCAAGTCAATTTATTATGTAATAAAAAATATACCTTCATGTGCTACTTTTGGAGATAAATAGGATCGATTTTTTAGACATTACTCAAAATTTCGATTTCTTCAAAATTTCCATCCTTTGGAAAGACATACCTAACTTTTTTGTTTCAAAAGATAAACCCAAACGGATTTTTGAATAGCATTTTGAATATCTTCTTTACATAAGTATGCTATATACTTGTTTAAAAGTTCTTTGGAAATAAGTCATTTTAATTTAATTGTCATGATTAAAAAAAAAAAAAATTTTTTGCTGTATATTTATTTAGTTTAAAAAAAACCATCAGTGATTTATTCATAAAAATTGGAACAAATAATCTTCATACATAATCAAAATGTTATTTTTAAAAAGAGGTGTTCATGTGCTTGTTTTCAAGGTCATGGTTAAAATCAGTCGAAAAATGCATCTTTTTCCGAAATTTCACAGTTTGACGTCGTGAAAAACAACATTTTACGTTAGCACCGTCACAACCTCCCCTGTAACTGTATTATATGCCCTTAAGTATATTTTCTATCCTGCAATTTAACACTGGTGCTTAAATGATTTTTTAACATTGTTCTTGTCTTAGGTAATTTGGATAAATTTGCATTACCTACAAAGGGAGGGCGAAAAAGTCACCAAAATAAATTGTGATGTAAAAATTAATTTGAATATTACTATTCACTCATAAAAGAAACAGGATCTCCTTGCATAGGTTTTTGTTTACTTTTATTTGTACATTAAAATGGCTGATTGCAGGATAAAAAGTGATTTTAGCCTATAATGGTGAGGATCTTCATATACTATTTATACATCAACACTTTCTATCTAGCTGGCCTGACTATATACTGTAGTCCAATGTATAACATAATTTAAAAAACTAATTCCTATCAGATTCTTTATTTCTGTCCATTCTGAGATAAATGAAATAAAGTTTGCATTGTTTTGTTAAAGGACCTAAGCTTAGATTCAGAAAAAAAAGATTTTTTTTTTAGAAATCAGAAGGGTGTTTAAGGGATAAGTCTATATAAAAGTCAAACACAAAAATATACATTTTGTCCCAATACCCAAATATATCTTGCTATGGAAATAGGAGTGTAAACTCTGACAACATTAAGAACAGACAGAAACCTTAATAGGACTAAAGTAACATATATATATAGACTGAAATCTAGGTGTACACTGTACCTGGGTCTTCTGGTATATCAAAACCTTCAAAATACAAACTCTATTTGGTATCTTTGTATCATACAACTGAAGCAGTATAGTATATGTACATCGCTTGTTCATAAAAGAACAGAATGTATCCTTTTTGCTCTTATCAAAGCATACATAAGTATACATAATTGGGCAATATTTCACATTTTGATGAAATTGCATATGCATTTTGAACTCATTAAACTGCATCAGAGTATCGAAAAAATTATTTGTGACATTTTTAATTCCAGAGATACAATCAATTTAAAATTTGTGAAAGGGTTCATTTCTGTATAGAACATGAGATGAGCAGCAAAAACATTTTATTTAAGAAATGACTGTAATATTTTTTCTGTCTATGAAGAAATAACATCAAAAATGTGGTGCACACTGAATAACCCGTGTAGCGGGTTATTCTAAAGTGTGCACAACATTTTTTATGTTATTTCGAATAGACAGAAAAAATATTACAGTCATTCCTTATAATTTAATTCTAAAATCCATTTTAAATCGTAGTAAATCATGAAAAAACGTTGATGACGTCACGGTCACATGACAAAATTATGTCTATGAGCTGATAAACAAAACAACATCAGCCAATCAGAAGACGTGTTACATCCAAAATTAAATTATTTCAAGTTAAATTGTGTTTTCTTGAAAATATTTCCAAAGAATTTTGATAGAAATTGATTTTCTATTGCTGTAAACATTTCCTCTTTTAAGATTTAATTATATAATGTAACCTTTTGTATTCTTATACATGGAAAGCATTCTTCTGTACTCTTAAAACAGTAAATGCATTATTTTTCTCTCTTTTAGAAAAGGAATGATTCATTTGTACTCTAATATATGGAATGCAACCTTTTTTCTCTCTGTTAAACTTAAATTTCAACAAAAAAAATGATAATTATTCTCTGATTTTGAAGTGCAAGAGTTTCTCATAAACAAGCTTATTCCTTTTAGACAGAAATTGTAATACAATAAGCTCTGACATTACAACATCTCTACTTTTCCATATTTTTCTGAGGTTTAAGATAAAATTCAGAATATCATTCAATTTGTTTTGAAAACAACTCTGTTACATAAAGTTTCCTCAACATTTTTAAAACATAAATTATATTTTATATTGCATGCCATTTTGTCACAGAAGTCTAACTATAGGTAGACTTACTTAAGTATATTGACTAAGGGTAGAATTTATACCAATCAGATTGTAGTCGTTAAAAGATATATTCCCTGAATTAATGTTATGCAGTTTATTTCATGCAGATATTTTTCTCTCTGATGAAACTTAACAAGCTGAAATAATTCCTATTTATAAACTGGCATGTATGTTAATAAACAATATTTGTGCTCTATCAAAACACAAAACATAGTGGTGTCATTTGTGTCACAAATGTCTGCAAAAGATGTGGTTTGGTCAAGACAAGCACCCATCAAGGAACATTTAGATGTCAATAATGAACATCCTTATTTCCATTTATATCTATGGTAAATTTTGCATATCAGTCATTGTAATCTCTTAATTTTATTCTTGCCTAAAAGTAAAATCAGTGGTTTCCAATATTAAATTTGGAAAATTCAATGAAATACTACAAAATATGAAAGATGGGACATATTTGATAATTCACAAGGCCTGAAAATTGTTTTTAAGTTTAACATATGTTCATAGACAAGAATGTGAAACAAATAGGGTTAATTGAATTACAAACTTTTGTTGGATTCAATGATTGTTGTTTGTGTATTGTCCTGTGGCAAATATCGCTTGCATATTCAGGACAACATTACGAGTAATAAAATTTGCTTACAATGTAGAATGACAATTTACCTGAACTCTATAAATTAAATGGTAAATTGGAACATTTTGTTTTATTAATCAGAAACATACTGTCCTCACATAATGTTTTTGTGTATAACATATATCAAATGTATATGGACAGCCCGTAATTTGACTCTTGTTATTTGAAGATTACAAGTGTAAACATTGATGACATTGTGTGAAGTTAAACACTCAATACCTTTTCTTTTTGAGACATTGATTTTTTTAGCTTTCTTATCTAAAACAGTTGAATCAATAAAGTAAATGAATGACAAATGAAAAGAAAATATAAGTAAATGAAATAAATGAAGAATAAAATTGTATAAACAGTAATTAACGAGGCTTACTCAACAGCTCAATTTACCTGGAAGTTTTTTCATCAATAAATAAAGTAAGAAAATTTATTAATAAAGGCATGTCAATCATAAATTTCTCTTTAAAAGCAAATTATTTCGAAAAATATTATCTGACAACTACTGGACTTTATATACAATAAGGAAATGAAAACAAAATGTTTCCAGACAGACAAATATATACTATATTGAAGAATTACGCTAAATAACCTATCCTATTATCTTGAAGTGAGTTTGACTGACATGAAAAATAAAGGGGAAATAATTACCATCAGGCCTTTGTCTCATCTGTCTTTGTTCATCATCATCATCCTCGTCATCATCTAAATCATCATCATCACTTTCCTCACTATCATCTATCAAAACATGTCAACAGCATTTGAAGAATATGCATGTACACAATTTGTTGAATATATGGAATAAAACCATAATATAACAACAGTATGTGTCCATAGGACACTATCCCCTTCTCTCATTATACTATTTCAATGTTCTATGAATGATGAAATTGGGGGGTGAAAAACATATTTTGGCATTTCATATAAAAACTTAACATTATAATGAACAAATGTACTAACTTTCAAGTTGTGACCACAACTATAACCAAAATCTTTAACCTGATACGGGACTGTCTTATACTCTACAACTATTTTACATGCAACAGTAGTAAAAATCATTCAACACCTGCTTAATTTGTTTTTTTATAAAACTTTTTCAATAGTTTGCTTGTTAAAAGATTTTCCAATATTATTTTTTAAAATTACCAATATGGCTTCCAAGCTTAATTGGGCTATGAACAGATACTTTGCAAAAGAAAATAAATGTTTAAGTGTAGAATTATGAATATATGCTCTAATTTCATATATTTACCATTCATACCTGCAACTTCTTCATGTGGAATATTATCTCTTATTTTTTCCTCATTTTTCAATCTTTCTGCCATTTGTTTCAGTTTTTCCTCAGTTTCCTGTTAAAGAATCATGAAAGAACTGGTTAAAATAAAGACTCATTTAGTTCTTAATTTACATATTAAAAAGTCTTAAATTTAAAACGTTGAGAACAAATACTAAATAAAAGTAATTTTATTCATTGATGCAAGTTTTGAGAACAACATTTTTTTAAAAAATGTGAAAGCTTTTATAACAACAACACTTTAGGGATTGCTGCAGTAATTTAATGAGATCGAAATGTTTCGGTGCTTAGGGCACCTTCATCAGGATAAAAACAATACAGAAAATTGTGCCTGAAGTACAAAATAGGGTATGCATAAATTACGTCACAATGTAACCATGGTGAGTATAAATGATAGTGAAAGTATACATGTATGGAAGTGAATTTGAACAAGAAAGTTGAATAAAATGTGAATGTCATTGAAATTAAAATGTTTGTTGATATTATTCTGCCAAAGTCTGTATCTTGCTAAAAAAAAAATGAATATGTGTTTGTCATCTTGCATAATGAATGGAACTAAAACATATAATAATTTATTGTCTGACTGTGAACAGTTTGTGTTTTACCCAAACCTGAACGGAACTTGTTACCATGTATACCTGAGGTGTCCACTTTAGGGATTCTATCTTACTGAAGATTTACCAGGCGTTGGTTCACTGTTGTTTGTTATATTTTTTATAATATAGTAGCACTTACCCCATCACGTATACCAATCAAATGAGTTTGTATTTACTCAGAAAAAAATTCTGTGACAACAATAGCCGATAATTCCATGTAAATGATACAAAAAAGTATTCAACAATCACAGTATCTGACTGATTATTTCAAGTTAATCTTTGAGTAACCAATATCTGTAAAAGCACTTTTTTAAAATGTGCAGTTAAAATCAATAGAAATACATATTTTTTTTAAAGGCTAAATGTTTGCTTGGTTAAAAATCTGAGAATTTTAAATCACTAAACAATGCATTCATTTGTTAAAATCTTATAAAATACCACCACCATTTCTGACATAAAAATTTTGTGTTTTATTATAACAGTTTACCTCAAATTTATCCTGTTCTGATCTGTAGAAATCTTCTAACTGTGCTTCTAAGTGGGACAAATTTCTAAATTTTAGTACATAGGTTTCATAAAGCTTTTGTAAATCTTCTTCCAACTTTTCATATTCATCCATGTAGGCTGGCCTAAAAAAATAAAAACAATGGAAATGACGATTTTGAAACCAACAGGAAAGAAGAAAGAACAACTAAAAATTCGTAAGGGTTCCGCAGAACCCAGTGTCTCGCCTACTTTTGCTGTTAATCACAGGCTCAACAAAAATGAGGAAAAAAATTAATGAAAATATTCCTCTCTATACTATCTTTTAATTGTAAGTAGCTTCTGTCCAAGTTTGGTAAAAATCCAGGATAGTTTATGAATCTAATAAATGTTTTTTTTAAACTTAAACTGCAGACTGTATGTAATGTTAATTGGAAGAAAAACTAAGTCCATTTATAAGTCCAATACGGAAAAAATGGAACAAAATTTTAACAAAATTTCCTTCTAGATACTAGCTTTTAATCATAAACAAGCTTCTGTCCAAGTTTGGTACAAATCCAGGATAGTTTAAGAAAGTTGTTAAAATTTGAAAAACTTTAACCACAGAGTGAATGTAATGTTTACTGGCAGAAAAACTAAGTCCATTTATAAGTAAAATACGGAAAAAATGGAATTTTTTTTTTACAAAATTTACTTCTGGATACTATCTTATGATCATAAACAAGCTTCTTTCCAAGTTTGGTAGAAATCCAGGATAGTTTAAGAATGTTATTAAAATTTCAAAAACTTTAACCACAGAGTGAATGTAATGTTTCCTGGCAGAAAAACTAAGTCCATTTATAAGTAAAATACGGAAAAAATGGAATTTTTTTTTTCACAAAATTTACTTTTGAATATTATCTTATGATCATAAACAAGCTTCTGTCCAAGTTTGGTAGAAATCCAGGATAGTTTAAGAATGTTATTAAAATTTCAAAAACTTTAACCACAGAGTGAATGTAATGTTTCCTGGCAGAAAAACTAAGTCCATTTATAAGTAAAATACGGAAAAAATGGAATTTTTTTTTTCACAAAATTTACTTTTGAATATTATCTTATGATCATAAACAAGCTTCTGTCCAAGTTTGGTAGACATCCAGGATAGTTTAAGAAAGTTATTAAAATTTCAAAAACTTTAACCACAGAGTGAATATTTGTGGACGCCGCCGACGCCGACGGAATGTAGGATCGCTATGTCTCGCTTTTTCGACAAAAGTCGAAGGCTCGACAAAAATCAGAAGCCTTATCGTGTAGTTTTCTAAATAAAATGTTTCTCGATCATATTCTTCAACCAGCACTGTTCAATGTCTGCAGCTTTAAGCATTTAATATTCTATTTTCCAGACCTTATTTCAAATATTTAATTGTTAATTTTTACAAATGGCTGATTAAACAAGAGGCTCTCAAGAGCCTGAATCGCTCACCTGTATTTCAGAAGAGAAGATTTTTAAATGTTAGCAAACTTGATGAACAAATTGTGTAAAACTGTCTTTAAAGGGCAATCACTCCTTAAGGGGTCAATTGACAATTTTGGTCATATTAACTTTTTTGTAGATCTTACTTTGCTGAACATTATTGCTGCTTACAGTTTATATATATCTATAATAATATTCAAAATAATAACAAAAAACTGCAAAATTTTGTTAAAACTACCAATTCGGTGGCAGCAACCCAACAATGGGTTGTTCGATTCGTCTGATAATTTCAGGGCCGATAGATCTTGACCAATTAAACAATTTTACCTCATGTCACATTTGATCTAAAAGATTTAGTTTTTGAGATATAAGCCAAAAACTGCATTTGACCCTTATGTTCTATTTTTAGCCATGGTGGCCATGTTTGTCGATGGATACAAACTTCGGATACATTTTATAAACAAGATACCCTAAGGAACATTTAGTTAAAGTTTGAAGGTAATTGGCCCAGTAGTTTCAGAGGAGAAGATTTTTAAATGTTAGCAAACTTGATGAACAAATTGTGTAAAATTGTCTTTAAAGGGCAATAACTCCTTAAAAGGTCAATTGACAATTATGGTCATATTAACTTTTTTGTAGATCTTACTTTGCTGAACATTATTGCTGCTTACAGTTTATATATATCTATAATAATATTCAAAATAATAACAAAAAACTGCAAAATTTTGTTAAAACTACCAATTCGGTGGCAGCAACCCAACAATGGGTTGTTCGATTTGTCTGAAAATTTCAGAGCTGATAGATCTTGTTCAATTGAACAATTTAACCACTGTCACATTTGCTCTAAAAGCTTTAGTTTTTGAGATATAAGCAAAAAACTGCATTTGACCCCTATGTTCTATTTTTAGCCATTGCTATGTTTGTCGATGGATCAAAACTTCGGATACAATTTATAAACTAGATACCCTTAGGAACATTTAGTTAAAGTTTGAAGGTATTTGGCCCAGTAGTTTCAGAGGAAAAGATTTTTGAAATAGTTTACGACGACAGACAACAGACGACGCCGGACGCCAAGTGATGGCATAAGCTCACATGGGGCCCTTTGGGCCCCGGTGAGCTAATAAAAGGAGAATGTGTCAATGGGACACAGATGATGCCCCTGCTTGCATATAAAGGGGCATAACTCAAGACGCCACCCAAATTCAAACTTGATCTGTGTTTTGTGGTAATAAGCATTGTATATAAGTTTCATAACATTGGTTGAGGCAAACTAAAGTGAGAGAACAGAAACTAATTTTGGGACGTACGTACGGACAAGGGTTACACTTGATGCCCCCTCAGTGGGGGCATAAAAAAACTGAGACTGTAACATGGTTGTCAATGTCCCCTCCTATTCTGCATTATTTATTTTAGAGTTAAATGCTTTTTTTCTGATCAGAATTTCAGGCTACATTCTTTTGTGTAAATTTGGTTATTCCACTGAGCAAGACCGGAAGGGGAGAAGGACTGAGATATGAAAAATCTTGCTTAACCCTGCAACATGTTCATGTGCATGTTTTAAGTCAAGAACCTTGTCAGTGGTTGTCTTTTGTAATGTCTTAATGTTTATTGTTCTTTAGGGAATTGGCGTTGATGGTAGATATCTGATAGTCTCTATATATATATTCACTTTTTGTGTAGACTCTAGCCAATTCAGTGCTTGACATATTATACACACTTTTTGTGTAGACTCTGGCCAATTCAGTGCTTGACATATTATACACACTTTATGTGTAGACTCTGGCCAATTCAGTGCTTGACATATTATACACACTTTTTGTGTAGACTCAGGCCAATTCAGTGCTTGACATATTATACACACTTTTTGTGTAGACTCTGGCCAATTCAGTGCTTGACATATTATACACACTTTATGTGTAGACTCTGGCCAATTCAGTGCTTGACATATTATACACACTTTTTGTGTAGACTCAGGCCAATTCAGTGCTTGACATATTATACACACTTTTTAAAGTAAAAGATTAAATGTTGACCTCTAGATGTCGTTGGGGTTTTAGTGTTGTCAAGCTGCAGTCTCACAGGGCTCAACATTACCGTTTAACTGATTGTCCGGGACAAGTGGGCATAGGCGTCGGACAAGCAGAATCACCGTATTAGTTGTCCAAAGGGACAAGTGAAAATCCATGATATAAAACTTTCAAGACCTACAAATGCCTAAATCATGAATGATTCTTTTATTGATCAAATGAAATCTAAATTCAATTTTGATCCTGGTATCTTTGATGAGTTTATTCATTGATTGACAAGCTGGCTGACAGAAGCTTTCATATCGATAGAGATAAATCATGAGAGATTCAGGTCACCAGAATTGCGATTCCCTTTCCATTGCCCTTATGTCCACAACAGTCAATATTTTGACCAATCATGATGTCAAATGGCTTCATACATTTTCAATAATTCTTTTGTTTGTTCTAGACTTATTAGGTTTGATTGCATGATATTACTTTTTATGTTTTGAATTTTTAATTAACAATAAATTGTACAAATAAGCATGATAATTGCATAAGTATAAAACTGACAGGCAATCCTTACCGGTTCACTGACATCATTATAAGACGATCATCATTCCATTAATTTTAAATTAAGATTGAGATAGTTCCAAAAGCTTTTGTTTTACATATATCATATGAAAATTCAGAAACTTTTTCATATAAATAACATAAAATGTGACGTTACAAAAGGTGATGAAACAGTCATGATCTCAGAGAAATTTTGTGTTTATATTAATTTTTTTATGTGGAGTTAGTTCACCTTAAAGTGGAATTTTCTTTAAAAAAGTTTTTACTGATAATTGAAATATACACTAGTTTATTTTACTTTTTAACTGCTAGAGAATATCATTTTAATGAAAAGAATTATGGGTTGGATTTATTTGCTTTACAAAATTCTTTTGTTTAAAAAAAATAATTTCTTATTACCCCCTAGTTTTAGATTTGAATGTTGTGCATCATCAATTTTACTATGGACAGAATGACTAGTAGTAATAACAAAGTTAAAATTTTTTAGGTGCAGAGATACACGAAAGAAAATCCCTAGTGACAGTAATATATACCACCCTAAAATTTTGAATTGTACCTGGTTTAAATCTAACACTTATTAAAGGCAAGAAAGTGAAAAGATTTATTTTGATAAGGCATAAGATAACTCACATCTGTACATGAAGGAAGTTCAGTTAATGTAAAATAAACAGAATAAAGGGGCTATATTTATTTGTGAAGTTACAAGAAAATTCTGCTTTAATAATGATAGCCACGGCTTAAGTGTCCTTTTTATAGGAATGTGTCCCTCTGCCCTGAGTTTCTAGCTAGAACATTGATAAGAGAACCCTATGATATTGGCAGTGATGATGATTGAATCCATCATACACTCCACACATGATAGTGACATTTAGTCAGAGAACTTACTTTGGAATGGCAAATAATCCTTGAAAAAAAGATGTAGTATTCTTTATTTAGTTACAGACAATTCATATAACACAACAAATTACTCCCTTCATCAGGTATGCTAAAAGCCCACATTATCAATTTGTAAGATTTGTAAATTTGGATTCGGGGAAGTGCGTTAAGAGGTCGGACAAGTTGATTTTCTTGCAACTTGTACGAATGGACAAGTTAGAAAAAATAATAATAAAGAGGCCTATCTCATCAAACCAACTCCCAATATTTTTTAATTCAAATCTGTACTTTTTTTATTATATTCATTCTACTAATTCTCAATATTTGCCTACAAAACATCTTACCTAACACTCTGTAATGTCTGTAATCTTTTATTATTCCTTTCTAGTTCATTCCTCTTTTTCTCAATCTTTGCCTCCAAGTTGGCTTCATCAGATGCTACGTTGTCTAACATCATCATAGTTTTCTTTACCTCATTCTGTTAATATAATTTAATAAAAGATATAAATATGTATGGAATAATTTCTTAGTGGTTTGTCCTGGAAAATGTTAACAGTAAGATTTGTATGATTGTGCGTGATAGCAGATATCTGTATTTTCTTGTTCTAAATAAAATAATGCTACTGTGGATTCATTAATTTTCATGGTTACCAACTTTTGTGGATTGAGGAAAACTTGCATTTTTCGTGGGTATTGAATTTCATGTTTTTTTTTCCAAAGTCTGCATGCATTTCTATAGAAAATTTGTAATTCATTGAACATTTAAATTTGTGCTTCCCCTGTATCCATGAAATCCAAGAAAATTGGTATCCAAAGAATCATACTGAATCCTCTGAGGCTCAGTATGTACAACAGAGCTATTATAGTTTCATATTTAAGGAATTATTTCTCCAGATTTTGTTTGTAACAGGAAAAGTTAGCCCGAAATAGTACATTACAAAATAACCACTTTTATGGCATTTTGATAGCTCAGAACTAGTATGTTTTTGATATAGTTATATATTTTACTGATTTTTTTTTATCAGATTCCTAAGCAGCAGTCAGCTTTGATCACAAATTGGTTACCAAATATTCTGTGATGTCTGTAAACAATACTTACCTCTACTGCCTTTATTGAATCAGACATTCCTCTCTCCACTTCATTTATTTCTAATGACTTGGCTATAACTATTGATCTTTGTTCCTGTAAGAAGATATTGTAACATAAATTAGAAGTGTTGTACATTGTACTTGGAACTAGTATCAAGACTATTACTTTGATACAAAGATTTGGATGTCTACCTTAACCTGTAGAAATCTTATTATAAATGGGATATGACATCCTAGTTCTATGTTGATGTTATTCATAGAGTTTAAAAATTAAGATATGATCCATGTCAACTTATTGTTCTTTCAATACACTTATTCTTATCAGTTTAGCATTGTGGTAAGATCTTCAAACATTGTCTTTATTGCTACTTTTTAACTGATTTCATTTTCCAAAAAAATGAATATATTACTTAACATATATTGCAATCAAGTTATTAACACCTAAGGTCCTGCATCCTGTCTCAATTTATATTTTGGCTTTGCACAAGGTCATGGTTTTTAGGGATGCTTATGATATTTATACATTAAATTAGATTGAGAAATACCGATTGATAATTTAATTTTTGTTTTTGTGCTTGTATCAATCTGATCAATCGAGCAATTTTCAACAGATTTTTACAGTTTGTTCAAATGTAGTAATGTTACACCACCATTCCAGGCTATGGGAGGGTTGATGGTTCACAAACATGCCTAATCCCACCAATCTTTATGTGCCAGGCCCAAAGTCAGGATCCTGTAGTCCAATTTTACTTTTCAATAAGTACTTCTTCCTTGATATTATATCAGGGTTTTGTGCCATATAAGGTAAAAAGTATAGATAGCTGCATAATAATTTTTTTTAAATATAGATACTTGTATTATCAAGATATCAAAAGCATATCACTTGGATAAAACATTGAAATTTACCCTTAAATCCACTTCTCTTCCCAACAAATCATACAATGTAGACCCCTTTGATGTGATCTCTGAAGCAAGTCTCCGGGCCTCCTTTAAATCTCCAATCTGTTTAAATAAAAAAACATCATTAATAATGTGTAATACTATTTTTCTATCAAACATTATCTATTGAAACAAAGTGGATAGGATATTATCTAAAATATTCTTCAAGAAGACACTATATGTTATTTAAGGCATCATTGACTTAACTAGTAAAACATTGTTTCAGTCATACTGAAATATGAGACTTACCCTAGATGTAATATAAAATAATTAACCCTGAATGTAATATCAAATGACTTATCCTGGATGTAATATCAAATGACTCACTCTGGATGTAATATCAAATGACTAAACATGGATATAATATCAAATGACTCACTCTGGACATAATATCAAATGACTAAACATGGATGCAATATTAAATGATTAACCCTGGAAGTAATTTCAAATGACTCACCCTAAATGTAATATCAAATGACTTACCCTGAATGTAGTATCAAATGACTCACCCTGGATGTAATATCAAATGACTTACCCTGAATGTAATATCAAATGACTTACCCTGAATGTAATATCAAATGACTAACCCTGGATGTAATATCAAATGACTCACCCTGGATGTAATAATAAATGACTCACCCTGGATGTAACATCAAATGACTCACCCTGGATGTAATATCAAATGACTATCCCTGGATGTAATATCAAATGACTAACCCTGGATGTAATATCAAATAAAATGCTCCGCTGGGGCGCAGCTTGATACGACCGCAGAGGTCGAACCCTGAACAGTTGGGGCAAGTATGGACACAACATTCAAGCTTGATACAGCACTGAATTTGGATTGTAATTAAATATTTGACACAGCATAGGTTTCTGACACAGGATGAAAGTGGTCTAAGAACTTAAAAATTTTCAATTTACCTATTCATACATGTGATGGACTGTGAAACTCAGATCAGGAGATTGGGAAATTTTGGTCAGGAGATTAGGACTCAGATCAGGAGGTTTTTAATCGACATTAATTTTGTTGTAAATGTAACCGTGTGCTGTAAAAATGGTCTTTTAAAGTGTGTTTTCTTCAACTTTCCATCCAATTTATTATGTTTATAGTACCCTTGTACTTATAAAGTTTCTCCATCTTTATATTCTACATGTTCAATCTAACATTGTATTTTTCCAGTATGTTCTTTAAATTTTTTACTTCATATTCTATAAAACAATCATTGCAACCAGAACATTTGTTTAGCTATCTGCAAATAGTTTTTATTTTTTTTTTCTCTCTTGCAAATAGTTTTTATTTGCAAACTCAGAAAATCATTTTATCTGTAAAATTAGGGTCATAGTTATTATATAAATTTCAATTTAAGCCTTGAAAGGAAGTCTAGAATCCTCAAATAATTTTCAAATTATCATTTTTTTATTTGTCCTAAGACATTTAAAATCATTTAATAACCATCCTTTTATGATTATTTGTTCAATTTATATTTTATTTATATTCTTTTAAAAATTTTCATTATTAAAAGGAAAGTAACTTAAAACAGGATAAATCAAGGGAAGTAACCCAATAAATACACAGTTTTTGTTACACAACGGCAGTTAGCCTGAGGTAAAAATCGTTGATTACCTGTATGTTTGACACCCAAGCTGACAAGTGAAGCCATATAATTATGCATGTTAATTGATTTACAGGTAAAATATAACTTCAGGTAATGTCAGTTACACCAGATGCCTGAGATGATATGTTGGGCAGAAATTTTTCATTCATGAAAAATTTCATACACGGGATTTTTTCCTCTTCAACGGGAGGTCGGGAGGAGACCCCTGAAAACGGGATTATTGTACTCCCATCGGGAGGTTCACATGTATGCCTATTCAAACCATATCATTATTATTTGCTTTTATATATAAATCAGAAATAACCAATTTAAAATGGAAAATGTTAAAGAAAAAAAAGGAAAAAAAAATCCCCCCCCCAATTTTTTGAACCCCCTTATGATTCATCACCCCCAAACTCAATCCCAGCTTTCCCTTTGTGGTATGGTACCTTGCAGTACAATTTCAGAGAGATTCATACACTTGAACACAAGTTATTGTCTGGAAACTAGAAAAATGCTTGTTTTTTGGCCCCTTTTTGGCCCCAAATTCCTAAACGTTTAGGGCAATTACCCCCAAACTCAATTCCAGCTTTCCCTTTGTGATATGGAACCTTGCAGTACAATTTCATAAAGATCCATACACTTACACACAAGTTATTGTCCTGAAACTAGAAAAATGCATGTTTTTTTTGCCCTTTTATGGCCCCTAATTACTAAAATTTTGAGGGAAAACCCCCAAAATCAATCCCAGCCTTCCCTTTGTGATATGGAACCTTGTAGTACAATTTCATAAAGATCCATACACTTACAAACAAGTTATTGTCATGAAACTAGAAAAATGCTTGTTTTTTGCCCCTTTTTGGCCCCTAATTCCTAAAATTTGGAGGAAATTACCCCAAAAATCAATCCCAGTATTCCTTTTGTGATATGGAACCTTGTAGTACAATTTCATAAAGATCCATACACTTACAAACAAGATATTGTCATGGTCGTATAAAAATGCTTGTTTTTTGCCCCTTTTTGGCCCCCAATTCCTAAAATTTGGAGGCAATTACCCCCAAAATCAATCCCAGCATTCCCTTTGTGATATGGAACCTTGTGGTACAATGTCAGAGAGATCCATACACTTACACACAAGTTATGTCTGGAAGTTACAAAAATGCTTATTTTTGGCCCCTTTTGGCCCCTAATTCCTTAACTGTTAGTACCATAACCCCCAAAATCAATCCCCACCTTCCTTTTGTGGTATTGAACCTTATGGTAAAATTTCATTGAGATCCATTTACTTAAACTAAAGTTAGAGTGCGAAAACTAATGTGTATTCGGACGACGACGCCGGACGACGACGACGACGACGACGACGACGACGACGACGACGACGACGCCAACGTCATACCAATATACGACCACAAAAATTTTTTTGCGGTCGTATAATGACTCACCCTGGATGTAATATCAAATGACTCACCCTGGATGTAATAATAAATGACTCACCCTGGATATAACATCAAATGACTCACCCTGGATGTAATTTCAAATGACTAACCCTGGATGTAATATCAAATGACTCACCCTGGATATATCAAACAACTTACCCTGGATGTAATATCAAATGACTAACCCTGGATGTAATATCAAATGACTAACCCTGGATGTAATATCAAATGACTCACCCTGGATGTAATATCAAACGACTCACCCTGGATGTAATATCAAATGACTCACCCTGGATGTAATATCAAACGACAATGCAGAAACATCTGAGTCATCATTACTGTCTGCCTGATTAGCTGTATTAGTTTTCATGGCATTATACAATACAGATGTTACTTTGAGAAGTTCTTTGACTGCATATCCATCAGACTGATACAGCTTCTTTGTGTTTAGTTTTATGTGTGCTTTGGTTGCCTGAATAATAAAGCAATATAGTTTTGTTAGCTTGAGATAGTTTAGCAGGTGAAGTCTACTACTACTAGTAAGTTATATTTTCTTTTATTGATTCAACAATACCATATTCCTACTTTTAATCTTCATTAAAGAAATTATTTTAAGTAAAAGGGAGAAATATTGAAAAATTAAGTCTTAAAAACTTTAATTGATTTTTGGAAATTATATGTGCTTAGATTTTTTAAAATGTTTAGAAATTTCATTATCATAGTATACATGTAGGTGCCTTGGAAATTTTGTAAAAATTGTGGCAAAGATACACACAGAAAAACATTCTATAGAATTAAATCATTACAAATATGATTTAGATTCCGTCAGCACCTTTAAAAAGAATAATGTGCCAGCCTCTCAGGGCATTTGGCCTGAATTTTATCTGAATTGAAACTTCAATCATAACAGTTATGACAATTTTATGATTTAAGGAAGGATACCTATTATTATATAACATATTTTTCAAACTTCTTCATCTGAATACTTGAACTTAAACTTGGTCAGATGGACACGATCAACCTAAAAAAAGATCCATTAAATAGATCATTTGTCCTCATTGTAAATAATACAGACACCAATATATTCTTTTGTCAATACCTCAAGTGCAAATGGTTTATTACATTGTACATACCATAAACTCAGCAATAGTCTTTATAAATATAACTCTGTCTTGTTCTGTGTCTGTATCACCAATTACGTCAGCTGATGGATCATACCTATAAATCATACAATCAAACCATTTTTATGTTTTATTTGCTTCAGTCTAAAATACTTACAAACTATTATTATTAAATCAAGATGCATTGATTCATCACTACAAACCTTGCGTTTTACATTTCAGCCAAGAGATCGGCTTTTCAACAGTTTCTTAAGGTCTGGCAACAATACCTGACAAATTCATTATTTAGTTCATGTTTTCTAAGAACTGCATAGTAGAACATATTGGTACTTTTTCAAACTGTTTTGTCATGAATCATGAAATCTTCACTTTTACATCTTTACTTAACACTGATTGCTTCTTTCTAGGAAGCCTACATTTTAAATCCTACATTTGCCAGAAATATTCTACATTAAGATTTCTGATTTTGTTTCTGTAAAAAAAACCTACCTCTTGACAAGCCACTTCAACACCTCTGCAACCAATGGAAAATTAGGATTTCTGAAGTTTTCCATTGAAATGAGTCTTGGATAACCAAGTGCTCTCATCATTTCTGTAAAATCTGAAATCATACAAGCACAGTCCTATAACCTGTTCATATATGAATTCAAGAATAGTTACATTTATAAGATATGAATAAAATTTGTAAACGGTCCTACACAGAACCCTGTTTCTTGGCTGCGAATGCTGTAGTCAGTGATAATGTTGCCTGCAAAATTTTTTCCTTTTATCAGTTAACCACAGATTTTTTTTTGAATTCAAAATTTTTTCTTCTTATGCTGTTTCTTGATCTTGAAGAAGCTTCTGTCATAGTTTATTAACATTCCACAAAGTTATTGGTATCTTAAAAATGTAATCTCAATTGTATGTAAATGTTAAGGCCTAAAATAAAATATTGTTTGTTTCCCCAATCCCGACCGACCCGGAAAATCGCCGCGACCGGAATAATTTTATTGCCGATTTTGTGTAGAAATTTTTTTTATCGAAATTCATGTGGTGGTGCGGTGCTCCTATGAAATGGAGGAGTCAAATACATAAGACATAAGAAGGAGACGCTGTTCTTCAAAGCGCTTTGTAATCGGCATAGTTGAAAACGAACATGGACGCCGTTCTGTCGGTTTCTGTTGCCGTTTATTCGGCTGGAAACTTTAAGAAAGACTTGGTAACAAATGTGTTGCGCAGATTTTTGAAAAAGGAAATATTTGAAGACATATGTGAGGACGTGATAGCCGATTTAGAATTGACTGAAGAGGAGGAGGATGCGCTTGACAAAAAACACATCCGTGTATCCATTTCTGAAAAAAGTGGTTCTACAGAAATATTTAGTCCACACTACGGTGATGACATGAAACTGGCACTAGACTTTAATAAAGACTTTAAGTTTTTGAAATTTTTGCATTGACATTGATGGGACCTCTACAGAAAAAGAAGCCTCCTCCTCAAATATTGTCAATACCTTTGACAAAATGATGGGAGCCAGTCAAACTGTCAACAAACTTCCTGAGCGAAAAGAAGAAGCTATTAACAAGTTTACAGGTATGCATAATAAGTGACCGTCCCAACATCTATTTCTTGCAAGCAAAGGTAGACTTTTTTAGGATAAGGAGAGTCTCCCCACCTTTGTTTGCATTCTTTTTCTTGTTTTCTTGCAAATTTTCAAACCCTTAACCTAAATTCCCTAATGATTTCCTCATGCCCTTACTAATTTGACCCGAGGCCTGAAAGCAATTGATTTAAATTAATCATTTGGTCCCTTATAAAAACAGACCACTCCACACTAGTCTCGTAAAAGCAGACAGCCCATACTTCTCTAAAAAGAAGGCTGCCACAATGGTAGCCTGCTCGCCTCGAGTACCGTGGCTTCAATCCCCGACGGAGTCATTGAGCCAAAGGCTTTAAAATTGGTATTTGCTGCTTTTCCGCGAAGCATGCAGTACTAGAGTTAGAGCAAAGACTGGTTTGCCAGGAATCAGAATAATGTGTCCGAGTAGGGCGACACGTCTTCCTGCAGACTGTTATCTTCAATGTGTGCTTGCACGTTAAAGATCCGGCTCAGCGTGTCTGACTAGTAAAAAGCAGGCTTCTTTCCATGGTCATTTCACACATACACTTCATGTCCATCGGCTGAATATATCCATTGAATTTATGCTGCCCGGTCATAAAACAGCAACATTGAATCACTGAATCAATATGAAGGAGGGGGGTGTAATTGGTCAGCCTGATGTTTATAGTCTTGTATATTTGTATGTTCTGCTAAGGGGGTAGCAATATGATTCTAGTAGTACACTCTCTGACATTGAACTTGGACAGATTTCTGACAGATTATACTGCTTAATATAATTAACAGAAGGCTCAGTATTTTAGACATTTTATTCATTGAAAATTCCCAATATATATATACAAAGTACTCTAGGATATTATTTTTTATTTATTAAAGATCTTTGTTGTTCTTTATTTCAGGTGATGCTCTTGAAGGCGTGGTGAATGTGCGCCTACACATAGACTGTAATACACATGTGGAATTTCCATATTATGCCTCTACCCTGGCACAGCCTGATATCTGTGCCTTCTGTGCCTTCTGTGCAGCTGTGGGGGCAACAAAGGACCAAGATGCCATTAAAACACATCATATTGTTCTACCAGTTTGCAGAGACTGTGTCATTATTGGAAAATTACCACCCAAGAGAAACCCAATTAAATAAATTATTTCAAATTATACATAAAATGCTCCGCAGGGCGCAGCTTGATACGACCGCAGAGGTCGAACCCTGAACAGTTGGGGCAAGTATGGACACAACATTCAAGCTTGATACAGCTTTGCATTTGGATTGTGATTAAATATTTGACACAGCATAGGTTTCTGACACAGAATGAATGTGGTCTAAGAACTTAAAAATTTTAAATTGGACATTCATCTATTATGGTCCAATATCCAAAATCTAAATACATGGTTAGATTCAGCATATCAAAGAACCCCAAGAATTCAATTTTTGATGAAATCAAACAAAGTTTAATATTGGACCCTTTTGACCTCAATGTGGACAAAGTTGATAACGGGGCCCAAAAATCAAAAATCTAAATACATGGTTAGATTCAGCATATCAAAGAACCCCATATATTCAATTTTTGTTGAAATCAAACAAAGTTTAATTTTGGACCCCGATTTGGACCAACTTGAAAACTGGGCCCATTATCAAAAATCTAAATACATGTTTAGATTCAGCATATCAAAGAACCCCAAGAATTCAATTTTTGTTAAAATCAAACTAAGTTTAATTTTGGACCCTTTGGACCTTAATGTAGACCAATTTGAAAACGGAACCAAAAATTAAGAATCTAAATACACGGTTAGATTCGGCATATCAAAGAACCCCAATAATTTAATTTTTGATGAAATCAAACAAAGTTTAATTTTGGACCCTTTGGACCTCAATGTGGACCAATTTAAAAACGGCGCCCAAAATCCAAAAACTTAATACACGGTTAGATTCAGCATATTAAAGAACCCCAAGAATTCAAGAATAAAACCCCATTGAAATTGGTCAAGAAATAAGCAATTTATACGAAGTATCTTCTTTTGCACAATACTGTGCAATTGAATATTTCCTGCTATTGCGCAATACTGTACAATTGACAATTTCTTGCTATTGCGCAATATTGTGCTATTGGATATTTCTTGCTATTGCGCAATACTGTGCAATTGAAGATTTCTTGCTATTGCGCAATACTGTGCAATTGAAGATTTCTTGCTATTGTGCAATACTGTGCAATTGAAAATTTCTTGCTATTGCACAATACTTATTATATAAAAATTTACACATCCTGTTTGGTGTGTATCTCCTACCATATCATTATTATTTGCTTTTAAATATAAATCAGAAATAACCAACTTGAACACAAGTTATTGTCTGGAAACTAAAAAAAATGTGTTTTTTGGCCCCTTTTTGGCCCCAAATTCCTAAACGTTTAATGCAATTACCCCAAAACTCAATTCCAGCTTTCCCTTTGTGATATGGAACCTTGTAGTACAATTTCAGAAAGATCCATACACTTACACACAAGTTATTATCATGAAACTAGAAAAATGCTTGTTTTTTGCCCCTTTTTTGGCCCCTAATTCCTAATATTTTGAGGCAAATACCCCCAAAATCAATCCCAGCATTCCCTGTGTGATATGGAACCTTGTGGTACAATTTCAGAGAGATCCATACACTTTAACACAAGTTATTGTCTGGAAACTAGAAAAATGCTTATTTTTGGCCCCTTTTTGGCCCCTTATTCCTACACGTTTTGGGCAATTACCCCCATACTCAATTCCAGCTTTCCCTTTGTGATATGGAACCTTGTAGTACAATTTCAGAAAGATCCATACACTTACACACAAGTTATTATCATGAAACTAGAAAAATGCTTGTTTTTTGCCCCTTTTTTGGCCCCTAATTCCTAAAATTTTGAGGCAATTACCCCCAAAATCAATCCCAGCATTCCTTTTGTGATATGGAACCTTGTGGTACAATGTCAGAGAGATCCATACACTAACACACAAGTTATGTCTGGAAGTTACAAAAATGCTTATTTTTGGCCCCTAATTCCTTTACTGTTGGTACCATAACCCCCAAAATCAATCCCAACCTTCCTTTTGTGGTATTGAACCTTATGGTAAAATTTCATAGAGATCCATTCACTTAAACTAAAGTTAGAGTGCGAAAACCAATGTGTCTTCGGACGACGCCATTCGACGACGACGCCAACGTCATACCAATATACGACCACAAAAATTTTTTTGCGGTCGTATAATAAGAGTTTTACTTAATATATCTGACATGAGGAAACTGATAGCTTGATACACCCTAGAATTTAAAATACTGCCCTATAATGATGGTTTGTAATTTCATATTTACAAGTACCAAAAAAAAACAAATTTACCAAAAAAATAAAATAATTTACCTACCTACCTACCCACACCTGACTTGATAGGGTCGGGTTTGGGGAAACAAACAATTATTTATTTTTGGCCTAACTCCATGTTCTCCCAAGGCCCTTAAAGCACCATGGACTCGCGGTCCTATAAATGTGGAGATTCTTACACGTTACTTATTACTGTATATTGACCCACTGACATCCCTTTATTCATAACCTTGGCAAATCTTTCATTTGAATAACAATTTTGATTAATATCAGTGAATAAGATGCAAGATGCAACATCTAAAATGACAGCAGGACTACAAATTTGACGTCTTTCACTAATGAAAGTTCCAGCGATCGAACAAAGCATTCACTGGAATTTGGAATGATGACCAGCTAAAGGTTCAGGAAAGCTTCTGGTTAAAGGAACTTAATGTTCTTCATCAAAATGGCATCAACAGGAAGGTGATAGGGATGCCCTCCTAACATTATATATATATTTACACGAACTACTACATTTTGACATTTTTGGATGTATAACTACACAACCATGTCAACATAATACTAAGTTTTGCTTTATGAAGGGCAGGATTTCGTATTTAATTGATAGTTTAAAATTAACATGTATTTCTGAAGAAGGCCATTAGTTGAGCTGAAATATTTGTCAATTTTATTACATCTTGTTCATATATTACTATCTTATATCAGTATTGTTGCATAAATTTTACGACTTTTATATATATATTATATATTAGGACATCAGTGGCAAAGGGGTCTAAGTTAACACTGAGGTTGTGAATTCGAATCTGGCAAGTGGCAGGTGCATTCGACTTCAATCTTAATTCGCTAGGATATTCAGTTCTACCAAGGGTCGGTGGTTCTCTCCTAGCACTCAGGCTTCCTCCATCAATAAAAACTGACTGCCATGAAATTGCAATAGTGATAAAAGTGGCATTAAACACCAATCAATAAAAGTTAAATTTATTTTGCATATCAGAAATATAAAATCTTTTTGGGATTATGATGGGCATTCTTTTCCGTTCCTGCTGAAGGTGTAAAAATAAACTAAGTTGGGATATAACTTTGAGATGCTCCATCTCAGGTAACAACTGATTTGTATTGTATTGATTGTCCTTGATTGGCATGGACAATAGATATCTACACATCTATAGGTGAGTTAAAGGTAGTAACTGAGTGGACAGTATCAAATGCAATTCAGGTGTTTGTTTATTTTTACACCTTCTGCAGGAAGGAAAAAAAATGCCCATCATATTCAAAAAAAGATTTTATCTTTCTGATATGCAAAATAGATTTAACTTTTATATATCTAGTGGATGCCAGGCCTTAAAACTTTCCAAACTGCACAGGTAAGTCTGTACACAGAGTAGTTTTTGAGGTGAAAATACGGCCATATTTGTCCATTTGTTATGATGAACCTTAATATATATTTTCTATTTTTTCTGCGTTTTATTTTCAACATAATCAATGTAATCAATTGCATATAATTAAACTTGTTTGTACAGTTCATAACTGGGTGTTATAATTGACATATTTGTATTTGCTACATAATATTAATAATAGTGGTGCACTGCCACTGGCATGTCAACGTTCGGGATGTCCGAGTGTCACTGTCACTGTGAGTGATGACCTAAAAATTCGCTCGTCAAAACTTCATCAAGCAAAGATGTTATTTTGCTTATTCTGCTCTATTGGAGTTTTATTAATTGACAATACAGTAATGTGAATACTTCTTAGATCCCTGTAAGACATTTTGAAGGACTTGAGATTCTGTTCTGTTGCGAGGAAAGCCAAAGAATTTTGTCATGCGCACTTATAACTTCCGGCAAAATATTTTTGTAAACTCTTGTCTACTAGTAGTGCATACTTGTGTTTAGTCTGTTATCCAAATATATTCTATAATACCCTTTGATATTCTACATATTTCAATGTTCTTTATTCACATTCCTTCAATTTATACTGAGTAAGATACTGTAAAATATCTCAAAATATCAATATGAATTAAGTTAAGAGTGATTCCCCTTATTAGAACTCTTATGACAAAACTGGTGTCTAAAAAATCCAGCTTTTCAACGTTGAATACATGCATTTAGTACTAGTACCAGTGCGTTTTGGTTGGAAAATTGGAAATCATATATAACAATATATTTATTAAAGTTAATAATTAATTCCTGTGTAATTAATTGACGTGAAGGTAAGGTGCAGATTATTATGAATTGTATTTGCAGAGTTGCATGACCTGAAACTGTTTAGATTACTATACAAATCCTTGATTTCTTCCCTAAAAACATAACAATAATATTAATAGTACATGCAGTCAGAATTATATTTCAAGATAACTCACCCCTTTGCTTAAGCCTTTGGTATCCTAAACTGCACTCTGCAAGAGAATCCAGATCATTTAGCCCATACCTGTTGCACCAAGAGTTGTCAGTGTTTTGCCCATGATCCCTGTTTACAACCAGAGTTGTTTCTCCAGTTTCTAGAGCGACTTGGTGTTTTTGTCCCCTTTAAATACACCTTATCGCTATTTGTCCGTCATTACTGGACATCACAAAAGTTCTCGTTAAATTTTTACGTCACAATAGAAAATATTTGATGCCACAATGGAAAAGTGATTGTTGTATGACGTCAATAGTTCAAGAGGCGCTGATTCTCAGGTCAAGTGGCGCAGATTATCAAATAGCGATAAGATCTATACATTTCCTTTAGATTTTATAAATTAATTTTATTTGGTCCTCTGATTTGCTCAAGAATATAAACTGTTATGTTTTTTTCTATGTGTATATATTTTAAAAATCAGTAATGATATATAAAATTGAAAAATGAGCCCCGTGTCAGAGTGCAACTTTTATGTGATTGTATATGTTTTAATATTTAAACTTATGATATTTTACTCTTAGTTTTAATATACGCTATGTTTTATATCTGAGACTACTATAACACTGTGTTATAGTAGTCTCAGGTTTTATATATACATGATATATGTATTAGAATGTTTTATGTTATACAAGTGGTGAGACTTTAATAAGATATTGAATCAGTTTTAAATAGTTTTCATTGATAGCAAGACAAGTGAGGAATAAAGAGTCTTTATAACAGTTTCTTGTTTTATACAGATAATATAATGATTGAAAAAATAATATTTCAGTATTTTGTCTTTTTTTGTAGGACATTGTGATGCTAGAAAGAATAAAATGTTGGCAAATTACAGATCCTGTTTAATGGTATGTAGATATCCACAGATTTAGATTGAAATGTGTTCACTCTTTGTATAGAAAGGAGAATAATATTTCACAATTTTTAATTTATATCTGACTGAAAGGTTATTAGGGCATTAAGATATACATTTGTGTGTATATGTCACAACTTGGGTTAAGTACACATTCTTGCGGTCAGTCTTTTTGACAGGTACATAAATGAGTGATCTCTGAGGTTTTTAAGAAATGTTGTATGCAGCAAAAGTATAGGGACCCTCCTTTAAATTGAAAACATGATATATTTATGTAACTTTTATGTTCTAGAGAATAAGATAAATAAATTAAATATCTGTACGCTTAAAGTGTAAAAACAAAGAAGGCAGGAAAATATCAGCAAAAAGATAAATATTTGACTTTTATCTTTTCTTTTTCTGCAAATTAAATTTAAATATGAAACATGTATGTCATTACCACTTAATTTCATTTTTCTAAATTGAAATTTATTTAGTATGTACAGGTTCACCAAATTTGTTTTTGAGTAAGCTGTAGTTGATTTTTGTATAAACTGTAAAACAATAGACCCTCCATAATTTTTGTAAACATAGAAATGTTAAGTAAGTCTGAGTTATTTCCCCTTAGTGTTTTAGTTGATATGACTATAGCACATATATATAATGTATTAAATTCAGGCATGACTGGAATACATTTGCATTGCTTTTTGCAAATAATAGGTTAAGCAAATGTGAAGATTAAGTCTGATCATGAAATTTGTAGTACCGTAGTTATTCTAAAAAAAACTTCTGCTGAATGATAGCCTAAGCCATTTGTGAATATGAGTTTGTTCTGTGAAAAGATATGCTCTCAATAATTTAGAAAAATCTGCTGAGCATCCTTGTTACTACCTGAGTAAAAATGTCCCAACCGAGAGTGTTTTAGGATAAATCAGGTTTTTGAAATTGTGCAGGTAATACACCTTACATGCCTTAATAACTGAGATATTGTTGAATATTTTGCCAAAAAACTTTGAATTTTTTTTTTATTCATTATGTTTTGGATGCAATTTTTTTTCTAGCTTTGTCAATGAAACCTCCAGAAATTAAAAGATAATTCCTGCTTCTGATTTCTCATTCAATTGTGATGTTTGAGAAGCTATCAAACCTGTCAGGAATATGACAAAAAAGTTAATTGCCAATTGTTCCTCACTGCAACCAATGTACTAGGTTGTTGCTTCTTAACTTGACGTCAATAATACTACATTTGTGATTTGAAGAACACATATGCAGGGTTAAATCACCAAATTACAAACTAGAAGAGGCAGATTTTAAAAAGTGACCAGCAGTTGTTTACATCCTTGTCCTTGGTCTTGGTGGATAGTTGTTTACATCCTTGTCCTTGGTCTCCGGTGGATAGTTATTTACATTCTTGTCCTTGGTCTTGGTGGATAGTTGTTTACATCCTTGTCATTGGTCTCCGGTGGATAGTTGTTTACATCCTTGTCCTTGGTCTTGGTGGATAGTTGTTTACATCCTTGTCATTGGTCTCTGGTGGATAGTTGTTTACATCCTTGTCCTTGGTCTTGGTGGATAGTTGTTTACATCCTTGTCCTTGGTCTTGGTGGATAGTTGTTTACATCCTTGTCATTGGTCTCCGGTGGATAGTTGTTTACATCCTTGTCCTTGGTCTCTGGTGAATAGTTGTTTACATCCTTGTCCTTGGTCTTGGTGGATAGTTGTTTACATCCTTGTCCTTGGTCTTGGTGGATAGTTGTTTACATCCTTGTCCTTGGTCTTGGTGGATAGTTGTTTACATCCTTGTCATTGGTCTCCGGTGGATAGTTGTTTACATCCTTGTCCTTGGTCTCTGGTGGATAGTTGTTTACATCCTTGTCCTCAGTCTCCGATGGATAGTTGTTTACATCCTTGTCCTTGGTCTCTGGTGGATAGTTGTTTACATCCTTGTCCTTGGTCTTGGTGGATAGTTGTTTACATCCTTGTCCTCAGTCTCCGATGGATAGTTGTTTACATCCTTGTCCTTGGTCTCTACTGGATAGTTGTTTACATCCTTGTCCTTGGTCTCTGGTGGATAGTTGTTTACATCCTTGTCCTTGGTCTCTGGTGGATAGTTGTTTACATCCTTGTCCTTGGTCTTGGTGGATACTTGTTTACATCCTTGTCCTTGGTCTCTGGTGGATAGTTGTTTTCATTCTTGTCCTTGGTCTCTGGTGGATAGTTATATCCTTGTCCTTGGTCTTGGTGGAAACTTGTTTTTATTCTTGTCCTTGGTCTCTGGTGGATAGTTGTTTACATCCTTGTCCTTGGTCTTGGTGGATACTTGTTTACATCCTTGTCCTTGGTCTCTGGTGGATAGTTGTTTACTTGTCCTTGGTCTCTGGTGGATAGTTGTTTACTTGTCCTTGGTCTCTGGCAGATAGTTGTTTACATCCTTGTCCTTGGTCTCCGGTGGATAGTTGTTTACATCCTTGTCCTTGGTCTTGGTGGATAGTTGTTTACATCCTTGTCATTGGTCTCCGGTGGATAGTTGTTTATGTCCTTGGTCTTGGTGGATAGTTGTTTACATCATGTCCTTGGTCTTGGTGGATAGTTGTTTACATCCTTGTCATTGGTCTCTGGTGGATAGTTATATCCTTGTCCTTGGTCTTGGTGGAAATTTGTTTTTATTCTTGTCCTTGGTCTCTGGTGGATAGTTGTTTACATCCTTGTCCTTGGTCTTGGTGGATACTTGTTTACATCCTTGTCCTTGGTCTCTGGTGGATAGTTGTTTACTTGTCCTTGGTCTCTGGTGGATAGTTGTTTACTTGTCCTTGGTCTCTGGCAGATAGTTGTTTACATCCTTGTCCTTGGTCTCCGGTGGATAGTTGTTTACATCCTCGTCCTTGGTCTCCGGTGGATAGTTGTTTACATCCTTGTCCTTGGTCTCCGGTGGATAGTTGTTTACATCCTTGTCCTTGGTCTTGGTGGATAGTTGTTTACATCCTTGTCATTGGTCTCCGGTGGATAGTTTTTTATGTCCTTGGTCTTGGTGGATAGTTGTTTACATCATGTCCTTGGTCTTGGTGGATAGTTGTTTACATCCTTGTCATTGGTCTCCGGTGGATAGTTGTTTACATCCTTGTCCTTGGTCTCTGGTGAATAGTTGTTTACATCCTTGTCCTTGGTCTTGGTGGATAGTTGTTTACATCCTTGTCCTTGGTCTTGGTGGATAGTTGTTTACATCCTTGTCCTTGGTCTTGGTGGATAGTTGTTTACATCCTTGTCATTGGTCTCCGGTGGATAGTTGTTTACATCCTTGTCCTTGGTCTCTGGTGGATAGTTGTTTACATCCTGTCCTTGGACTCTGGTGGATAGTTGATTACATCCTTATCCTTGGTCTCTGGTGGATAGTTGTTTACATCCTTGTCCTTGGTTTCTGATTGATAGTTGTTTACATCCTTGTCCTCAGTCTCCGATGGATAGTTGTTTACATCCTTGTCCTTGGTCTCTGGTGGATAGTTGTTTACATCCTTGTCCTTGGTCTTGGTGGATAGTTGTTTACATCCTTGTCCTCAGTCTCCGATGGATAGTTGTTTACATCCTTGTCCTTGGTCTCTACTGGATAGTTGTT